CTCTTCTGGGAAGGCTGTTCACAAGGTTTAGAAGTGTGTTTATGGGAATTTTTGACCATTCTTCCAGAAGCGCATTTGTGATGTTACACACTGATGTTGGATGAGTTTATATGGCCTACCACTTCGTGGCTGAGTTGCTGTCGTTCCCGAACACTTCCACTTTCTTATAATACAGCTGAGAGTGGACTGTAGAATATTTAGGAGCGAGGAAATTTCACGACTGGATTTGTTGCACAGATGGCATCCTATCACAGTTCCACGCTGGAATTTACTGAGTTCCTGAGAGCGACCCATTCTTTCACAAATGTTTGTAAAAACAGTCTGCATCCCTAGGTACTTGATTTTATACACCCGTGACCATGGAAGTGATTGGAACACCTGATTCTTATTATTTGGATGGGTGAGCGAAAACCTTTGGCAATATAGTGTACTATTCTATATAGTATATTCGCTTATGAACTACAATTCTGGTTCTCCCAGTTCAAGTTGTTAAGCAATCACATGGGTCATTTTGCAGAGCATCAGAGAGAGAAGGCTCAAGACTTCTGGACAGGTGGGGAGGGAGAGGGCTTGGGCCTCCCATTACACCCAGGATGCTAGGACCCTCTGCCTGCCCCCCCCCCCCCGGGACAATAGTGATGAGAAAGATAGCATGTGCTAACTTTTTCACCAGATTTGAAGTCCATTTCTTCAGCGTACCAAGCAATTTCCTCTCTGGGGAAAGAAAGTGTCCTGGAAGGTGCAAAATGCTGGCATTCACTAGCATTTGTGCCAGATTTGAGGTCCATTCCTTCAGCACATGGAAGGATTGCTCTACATTGCACAGAAGGGAGAAGAAACGCCTCAGTGCTAGTATGGCAAAGGTGTCCAACCTTTCCAGCTTGGCAGCTTGGTGTGCGGGGAAGGGGATGTTGGTTTGAGTGGCGGGTCCACACATGCACAGCTCCATTTGTGCAAGCAGAGTTGAGCATGTGAGCATGTTGCCTGACGCTTTCCACAGCCCAAATGCAAACTGGCCACAGCCCTGAAATGGGTAGTGGCCCAGGGGTTGGGGACCCCTGTCGTAGGGAATTCAATGCCCCCCCTCCCATCAGCAATCTTTCTTGCTGGTTTCCCCATTAACAATTGAACTGTTTCCTCAATAGTCAGCTCAAAACTGAATAACAAATCCTGAACGGTGATCTGATGTTTAATCCCTGAGCGTTAAGTTAAATTATATATAAAAAGAACAGAAATCTGCAGTTAAGTCCAAGGCACCTCAGGGGAAAAAAGACATCGATGCTGGGGGAAGTGGAGTATGGTCCTCATCATTACTTCTCGATCCAGCAGGCACATAATTTCTTGCATGCTTGGTTGCTGCCACAGTGACTTCCCCAAACTTTTGCATGTTTTATGATGCTCCACAGCAGCTGGGCCCCAAAGCAATATTCTAGAATTATATCAGGAGAAAAACATGTATTTTTATGTTGAACTTGAAGAGAAGATAGCAATTAAAATATTAATCTGACTTATTAACAGTAGAATAAGGTTAGCTTTTGCCTTCACTTCTAAAGAATGTGTTTCTTTTCCCTTCCTAAGCAATTTCAAACAAAATTAAACCATTATGAAATGACATTTAGTCCACTCTGTTTGTTTCGCTAAATTGCAGAGAAATGATCACAGTGAATTAACTTAACAAAGTCTTGACTCCCACAAAATGTGTCAACAAAATCACTGTCAGCAGAAGGCTTCCTTTCATAGTCACAATGTTATTTTTAATTAATCAAACATAAGCTTTACAACAGAACCCAAACTGTTGCCTTCAAGATGTTCTTCCTTAATGATTCAGAAAAATGTCAAAAACAGGGGAGATATTCCAACAGTATTTCGAGTTATTAAAAATATTGCTTGTCCCAGGTACAAGATGATCCAGATATTTAAGTGCTACCATTATATTCTTGACCACTTCATGACCAGGTGAGATGACAAGCATCTGTCCTTGAACTCTTGTGGGAAGAAAATTTATATAACAGTGTTTCTTGGTCATTGAAATTGGGAGAATGATCAGAAGAAAAGGCAGTCCCTGAATTTACCAGTTCACTAGTTTATACAGAAACTCATAGCCAAGTACCAGTATCTGAAGGCCTGCAAAGCAAAGAGAAAGCAAAGTGCCATTTTCCCTACAGATAAAACAATGTTATTATTTTATCTTATCTATCCTTGCACATATATGGTAAGTAAGGGAGGTCCTATTCTGCATTTCTGCTGCTTCAAATTTTAGAAAGACGGTAGCAGTCAGATGATTCATAGTACTTACTGCATTTTGAATTAGCAGCCACAGGCAGTTATGGCAACAGTAAATAATTTAAGGAGAGACTGCAGGCATAGGGACTCAATTCTGCTATCACACTGTTCCAAGACTGTATAAACATTTCTTGACTTTTGAATGGTGTAGGGAAGGCTTCATTCCAAAAACTAACAGCTGAAGCCAAGCAAAAACTAAACAATTTCATTTAGTAAGCTTATAGCCTTAATTAAAATTAAATTGAATTAAGATCAGACTCATTACATATTTAAATAACATAATTTTCCTATTTTGCCACACTAAAAATTGATAACTATGTTTTGAAGGCTTCTGAGAGTCACAATTTTTGAGAGGTTCATGTCGTCTATAATTTTAGGCTATATATCATGTTGCTTGCTTGATTTTGACTTATTGTGCATTGTAAACCCAAGCTTTGTACTTTGTAAATAGCTTATATTCATATAAACTATTTTCTATTTATTTTCTATAAATAGTTTAAATCTTAATCTATTTTATGAACCCAGTATATATTGGTTTATTCAACCAATTCTGATTAAGCAAACCATAGCAAAATAAGGCTGACAAGCTATGTACATTTTTCACCTATTACAATGACCAAGATGTATAAACAAACCTGAAGTCAAGAAGGCTTAGACCATTATTTTCATATAATTTAAGTAGAAACAATATCTTCTGATCTAAAAAAAATGAAAGACAATGTAAAAATGATAAAAATACCTAGAGGAAATCAACATTCCTAAGAATATAGCCATATAACATTCGGATGAAAGCTAAAGATAGGTCAGTGCCCATCCCATTCTCTCCATTTCAGGCACTTCACACATTCAGGTGTCTCACTGAGGGCTTAAGAGAAACCTAGCATCTTTGACTCATTATTGTTATTCTCAGTTTTGAGCTTTTATATCCATCCTACCATCATCTTGAATTCTAATATTTTAGGGAAACATTCATTATCTAGTAACACAGAAAGTAGTGAGTCAACCTGAAGTCCCTGAACACCTATCACAAAGTGTATTCAATATCCTCCAGGCTCAGCCCATCCCATAATACAAGCCCCCATCCAGTCATTACTACCGCTGTGTTTTGAGCAGTGTGCCCTTCTTTCTTGAATGTTTGCTCAGTGTTAGTTTAAAAATGCAGAAAAAATGAATGTTTTGTTCAAGCCCTTAAAGACACAAAATCTTTTAAAATTAACTTGTTTTCTTGATTGATTCGAGAACTGCAATTAAATGGTTTAAGTCAAACATGCACAATCAATTACTCCGCCTCTCCTACATTAAGCTTTTTTGTTAATAAACATCACTCTCAAGAGAAAATTCGTTCACCTGCAACGTTCAGTGTTGCACCATATGCTCCAAGCAGCACAGCAAAATGATTACTCTCACAAACTACAGGACAGAGTTTCACAAGAGACAACAGGAGGTTCACTAACATCTCTGAAAACAAAAAGGAAAAATATTTTGTTCTTTCCCTCAATTCATTCTAGGCACGGTATTTGAATTTTTTTCCAGCACTTTCTTAACATAATAAGCTGACTGGTCAGGATCTTCTGGGGTAAATAAAACATCACATCACCACCACGCTAATTTTCTGTAGTGTTCCTATTCATATTAGTTAAGCTATGTACAGAACTTTCTAGTGTCTAAATTGGAAACCTATAGATGTGTTTCCAACTATATGCTGGCAAGATATCCTGGGAATAGAATAGAATAGAATAGAATTCTTTATTGGCCAAGTTTGATTGGACACATAAGGAATTTGTCTTTGGAGCATATCAGAGGTGGCATTCAGCAGGTTCTCACCAGTTTGGGAGAACCAGTAGCAGAAATTTTGAGTAGTTCGGAGAACCAGTAAATACCACCTCTGACTGGCCCCACCCCCATCTGATCAGGAGGAAATGAGGATTTTGCAGTATCCTTCTCCTGCCACGCCCACCAAGCAAAGCCCATAGAACCGGTATTAAAATATTTGAATCCTAGCGCTGGTCCATATGCTTTCAGTGTACATAAAAAGACAAGATACAGTCATTAAGAATCATAAGGTACAACACTTAATGATAGTCATAGGGTACAAATAAGCAATCAGGAAACAATCAATTGTAATTGTAGTCCATCTGAAAGGCAACAGGTTGGTGACGACTATACAAGAATAGTATTTGTTGGTACAAACATTAACAGACCAATAATTATTGGTATATTATTATAATCCCACATCCATACCTTTTTTTTTTAAAGCTTAGCATAAATTTGTTCAGGACCCACTTGGGAAATTATACTATCCTGCCAAAAGTATTCGCTCACCTCTCTTTACTCGCATATGAACTTACTGTATGTGACATCCCATTCCTAATCCATACGGTTCAATGTGACATCGGTCCACCCTTTGCAGCTATAACAGCTTCAACTCTTCTGGGAAGGCTGTCCACAAGGTTTAGAAGTGTGTTTATGGGAATTTTTGACCATTCTTCCAGAAGTGCATTTGTGAGAACACACACTGATGTTGGACAAGTTTACGTGGCCTACCACTTCATGGCTGAGTTGCTGTTGTTTCCAAACACCTCCATGTTCTTATAATACAGCTGACAGTTGACTGCGGAATATTTAGGAGCGAGGAAATTTCACGACTGGATTTGTTGCACAGGTGGCATCCTATCACAGTTCCACGCTGGAAGTTACTGAGCTCCTGAGAGCGACTCATTCTTTCACAAATGTTTGTAAAAACAGTCTTCATGCCTAGGTACTTGATTTTATACACCTGTGGCCATGGAAGTGATTGGAACACCTGATTCTGATTATTTGGATGGGTGAGCAAATACGTTTGGCAATATAATGTATCTTGAGAGAATAATGAAAACTAATTTGCTGGGAAATTAGTTTTTATGAAGAGAAAGTAGTTCTTTTCTCTCACATACACCCTCTTTTACATTTGGTAACCACTGTATGGTTATCATATAGTGCAAAATGCACTTAATTTTTTGAAGTTCACTGACAAATTAAGTTGAGCATTATAATAATGTATTAAACTTGTATGCTATTTGTATGAATCTATAAATTATCATGAAAGAAAATGATAATGCTAGATAGATACTACTGCCAAAATATATAAGTGAGCAACAAACAAAATGTTTGGAAAAATGGCTTGCAAATATATAAATTGTACATAGACACCAAAGAAGATAGAAAGAAAGACAGACCTCTTAGATGAACATTCATGTCACTGCCTTCTTGTGGTCTCAGCATTGTGGACAAAAACAGTGAATGCTGCGTGATCATCATATAAAGCACTTCAGGTTTGGTTAATTTCTTTTTAAAAGAGTTTTCTTTCTGGTATAATGCATTTATAGCTGCATTCAGAGTTTTCAGGAAAGTTTGGTCTTTATAACGATACCTGCATGACAATTAAAAATACATTAAGTCAAACACCAGACTGTTCTGCTAACAAGCTTGTGCAAAAAAGAGTGATATCCCAGAAGTTCTTTTGTATGCTGACATTATTTTGGGGTCTGTAGAAATAATGAAGGTGCTTCCGAATTGCATTCCTAACCTGGAGCCCTCTAGAAAGAATAGATTCTATCTGCCTGCCCATATTACCCAATGGATAATTACAGCTGTCATTCAACTCATCCAGTAATTTTTTTTTTCCTGAACTTGGCTTTTTAGTTGCATGCTGGACTTCCTAATGCAGGGCTGTCAAACTCATGGCTCGCGGATGGATGCGTCACATGCTGGCCACAACCACCCCTGGTTTAGAAATGGGGAAAAAGCTGTGATACTTCATGTGACGAGCCGTGACGATGAGAGTTTGACACCCCTGTCCTAGTCGGTTGGACCAGAAAAAAAAATCAAAGTATTTAAATTATCTTTAATTAAAATTAAATATACTTAATATAATAGGAAGTTGTAATTTAGTAACCACAAAGTCACAACACAGTTGTTAAGTGAAAAAGTCACTAAGTAAAATCGCAATTGTGCTTAAACCCTTGTTCTTTGTTTATAGAATTCAGAAGGTCATAAATCCAAGGACTGGTCAAAAAGTTACTTCTTCATCGTCGTCCTAACTGTGAACAGTTGCTAAACAAGGATTAGCATTTCAATCATTTCATAATTATTCTTGTTTGCCACATTAACAATTACAATTTAAAAGCAATTTTTGCAGAGGCCAAGGTGTTTCCGGGGCTCTGGGTATTCAGATTGTGTGTTTCAGATTTAAAGGCTAATAACATGATGTATTAGGTATTATTTCTTAAATTAAAAGAAATTCCATAATCAGGAAGCAATTTTGCATTCAAGCAGTTATTATATACCATAGATATTGACACCAATGCATCCCTATGGCCACTTCTATCAATATTTAATCTCATATTCACATTACTATAGAAGTGACAAATTTTAGTGGAACCTGTTCTTTATTCAGGTTGATTGAAATAGTGCAAGTTCTTCGGCCAATGGCTGAAGAATCAGGAAACAGTAGAATTCTCTGTATGAATATAATCTGTGCAGAAATTATTCTAAATACACAGAGAGGGGAGGATAATTCAGTAAAATAGCTTGCATAACCAAAAACATTTCATTTGTGTAGAAGAAGGGAGTACTGGAAGTAGGGAGAATTGAAGAAGCTTCTTAGATGAGAAACAAAACTTCAAAGTCTTCAAAGTAAAAGCAGAAAGTCCAGTTGCCTTTTGAAAAAGCACCTTTGGTGCAACCATGACCTGGATGACTGAGAATCTCCATAGACATATTAAAGCAGTGTGCTCTCAGAATTATTCCAGCTGGGCTATCTGAAAAAAATCCATCACTGCTATAAACATAAATATGCTTACTTCAGCCCCAGCTTCACAAAACTATTCCAGTCGTCTGGAACCACTTCAGTTACCGAATTCTGGATAGACAAGAAATAGTAATATATCACTCACTGCAATATAATAAAGCTTTCAGAATTGACTGGCCTAAACTAGAAAGAGAGATCATTCAAAAGGAGGTCTCTACACTCTGTGAAAAGATTAATCCCATCCTTTCTTCATGAATTTAACACAGCAAACTGACAAATATTAAAAATTTTGACATAACACTTTTTTTTAGAAAGGTGTGGATTGGCTAGTATGATGTTCTTTCTAGCATTTACAATAAAGTTTTGTGTGAATTAAATCTCCTTCCATGATTAACAATTTTCATAAATTAAAAAGGGAAAGTACTACGGTACAGAATTTTAATGCTATATGAAGGAGTTTGAAAAGGATGTTAACTGTAATAGCAAATAACTTGCATTCCCACCTTTTTCAATCTCAAGTTTTCATAATTAAAACCCCTATCAAACTTTTGAGTAGTTGCTTCTTAACATAAATTTATGAAAAGTTAGAAGTTTAATGAATACTAACAGTATATTACTTATCTCCTTTAATAGAACGCTCCGCTACAGAGGAAATTTGTAACATTTGGAAACTCCATCTGGAGTAACCAGAGTGGGTCCATGCTCTCCAAAATTCTAGCAAAATTGAAAAACTAGTATTTGCAATTATTTGTATACCTGTGGATCCATCTATATACATTTCCTAATGAAAAAAACCCTGAAATGTATTTCTGTATTCAGCATCTTTTGTCTGATACTCCACCATTTCTTAATAAATTAATATACAAATGAATGGAAAATCCCAGTCCTCACCAATAGGTTTTCTAGTTTCAATAGCATGGTATTCTCCACTTCTGAGTGTGTTTCTTGCTCTTGGCTACTATTGAAGGACAGGATCAACCACTTCATACAGGTAACTAGTAGGCGTTTCTCCCATGAATGTATTTTTTCTGCAGATGTCTTGAGAGCTCTTGATACAGCATCAGCAATTATCCACCTGCAGAGGTTTGAAAAGAGTAACAGAGCAGAGGCAATGTCTATTTCAATTCTTCACATGCCCACAACCATACCCCATTATATAAGCTCAACATAACTACAGGTAGTCCTCAACTTACAACCACAATTGAGCCCAAAATGTCTATTGCTAAACGAATAGAAGGCAGCAAGATGGATTGAGCTACATGAGGAAAAAAGTGGGCTTAGTTTCTTTAACTGTTATATATAGTATAGTATAGTCTTTATTGTCATTGTACAAAATAAATACAATGAAATTGTAATATATCTACGTTAAACTTTATGATTTTCATCCACACTTCAAGATACACTACAACAAGAGGATTCTGAATGTCTACTCTTGTTTTAAAATTAAAATAAATACTAAATGGTTCACATGTATAATTCTTTCCACAGCTAGAAATTATGTAAGCTTACTGTTCATGATTTCCAAGTCTCTCAAGAGTTAGAATTAATTTTTCTGTGAGATCAGTAAAGGCCTCTGTATCGGATTGTGGCAATAATTTAGAAAGAACATGGCATTCCATAGTAGATAGCTGTGATGAATCCACTTTCAAAAGATTATTCAGCAGTTCTGGCCATAAAGCTTCTCTCAAGACAGACTTAACAGCTGAAAACAAGGTACAAAGTCAAAATACAAAGGAACAAATCAACATTTCCAAAATTCAAGGGATTATGTATGCACCAAGACCCACAGTAACAGACTTAAATCCTAAGAAGAGCTTCTTAAATAGACTCAATAGAAGAGTGGGATTTTTTGCCAAGACAGAACTGTATCTGAAGTAATGCTTATCTGCTTGGAAAGAAGGTTCATGATACTACATGAAAAAGCTAACAGAATAAGATCTAAATAGATGTTTCTTGCATCATTTATCCTAGGCAATATTATAGAAGCTCAAATCAGGCTAGCAGATGGCTTCAAAGCAAGAAATGCAGAACAAAATATTCAAAAAATAAATGAACGTTTCAATGTCCTACTTTTTTTACCATCATTAGGCTTAAAAGATTAACATATTATTTCCAAGACACTCATAACATGGTTACAGTTGTATTAAAAATCAGCTGGCATGATTACCTTTTGATAAGCATTTGAAATGTTGCTTCTCTTGACAGTCCAAATACACATTAACAAGGGTCATAAAAAGGGCTGCATTCATTTTTAGAAATTTGCTTGTTCTACTCTTCAGACACCAAAGCTCAAAATGTAGCAAATGAGTGTGAGAGTATTGAATCAACAAAGCTACAATAGAAAGGGAAATTTCTGTGGAACGCTTAAGGCACAAAAGCTGCACATCAATGTCAACTGCCTGGGCAAAGATAGGCTCTTTCTGTATCACACACAGAAAGACCTTTTCCAACTCTTCAGTGATAGATGCAGACAATAGAATGCTCACTCCTTGAATGTGCTCTCTTGAAAAAAAGGAGTCTCCTTTCAGGGAACCTCTCTGGTAGCCATCTGTGAGCAGCTGCATCAAAGTTTGCCCATGAACGTTCAGACAGATTTTTTTTCCAGCTAAAGTTTCAGATTTTGAAGTGGCTAGGTTGGCCTTGCAAAGTTGTAGTATGATTTCTCTCAGTTGGTTCATATTCATATAAATGTGCAGTTCTTGTAAAGCCTCTATCTGCAGAGATGTTTTAGGAGATATTCTGCATCCTTCTTTTGCAGCAGCTTGCAGCTCTTCCAAAACAGTCTTTGTGATGGCTTCAAAATACCTGCAGAGTATATCTAGCTGATTCCTAAGTTGTAGCAATGGGCAACTCATTTTCAACAAGTCCAGAATGTTGCGGTTTAGATGACTTGAAAGCTGTTTCACTTTAATTGGATTAAGATTGTGTGGAGGGAGGGAATGTTGTTCTATAGCCAGGAACCAATTTTCTAGGATAGGGTGTTTGAAGACCAAAGAGAGCATCTCTTCCATGACCTAAAATAGAAATAATTGCAATAAAAGACTTTGTCCAATAAACATAAGAACTTTATTGGATTAGATCAGTGTCTTATCAGCATTTTGTTTTTCATTGTTGCTAACTAGATCCTAGGAAAATTTACTCAGTCAGTAAGAAAGCAACGACCTTCTCTAGTATGATTAAGAGTGGAATCCGAAAGCTTACACCTGATAGTACATTCAGCCTGAGTAATATAGATCAAATTGACAAAGAATATTTGTCAAAAGATTTTGACTGAAAAATTGAGGGAAATGGTTCCAAAAAAAAAGAATTATGTTTAAAAAGTAAATGTTTTACATCATAAACAATTTCTAAGAGAGGTGCTAAGTTCCTCTTCACATGATATGCAGAAGTGGAATCTAAACAGTTGCCAAGGATGCTTTAATCTGGATTTCTGGACTGAGTTGGGTGTTGCACAAAATGGCTTACATGTTCCCTATCATTCTATGATTATGTAAAGCTATCTCTGTTATTTTACCATATACTGACCAACAATAAGCAGTGTATAAATAGTTTCATTCTTACTGGAACTCAGTATAATCAATCTTAGAAGGCACATCTTCCTCTACCGGGAATTGCATGTCCTACTAGGACCATGGCACATTTTGGAATACGTAAGCTAAATACCAAGTATCAGGTCGTGAATTTCATTTTTCAGATTACTATCTAACAAAACCTGTGCATGAGAGAATTTTTTTCTCTCACTGTACTCAGAACATAGTCACTGCACTCATGACTCATTTTAAGCACACACACACAAAAAAACCCTCTCATGGATTTTGTCCATGTACATACACAGTAAAGAGCATGCATAAAGGTTTTTCCCCCCCTCCAGAATAGCCACACAGAAAAATTAGCACCTTCTCATTCTCAGGGTCTTGTATCAAAATTTCTGCTTCCATAAAAAGTTCAGGTTCAATCTGGGTATTTTTCTGCTCAGGCTGACCATGCAACTCTGTATCATCACCTTTGCGCAACAACCTCTTCAACAAATCCATGTAGACAGTAACAAGGGAAAGGCCAGAATTTTTGCTCAACTGTTGAAAAAAATGATAGACATTACTAAGTGAAGAAAAAAAGAGGGGGGGGGAATGAGAACAAAACACCCCAATTATATATTTTATCAAAGAGACATATTAATTACCATCTATAGGCTTCATTTATTTGTTTTGCAAGTCCGTGCAACACACTTTGTATCTCCATACAACACTGTAATCAATGCTTACAAGTGGACACTACTACAAGCATGTATCTTAGAAGCCTGAATCAAGAGATTATATGTATTTTTAGCTACATACAGTGCACCTGCTTCAGAAAGTGTATGTTTGCCGTCATCTAAAGTTGAGATGGTCCTTAATGAAAGGGACTGAACATAACTATTAAAGTTCCTTTCAAAAAACAAGAAAAAAATAGCTCACACTGCCGAAGTTCTCCACAGTAGTTTTTAGGTACAGAAGAACATGTTTTAAAGCCAACAAGAGCTGCTGAGGCTGGAGCTGGGAAATAGCTTCATTTAGCTTTGTTTGAATATCCTCGTCCAGTAAAACAGCAACACCTTTCTGATAGCTATTCTTTAACAAGGTGAAAAATGAGGAATCTGATGACCACACCTCATCCATACTCTCTTTCCTGTCTTGCTGGAACTGAGTAAGAACAAAAGAAAAGAAAAGAAAATTACATGTATGTAAAGGAGACTGTTTGTACCCCAACATCTTTTAAATAAACAGAAGAAGCTTGGAAGAGGAACCAACTCCTTTTGCCAGAGAGCTAAACTACCTGCAGGAGGCTTTTGAAATTAGGCAAAGAGATCAAAATGACAAAAGCAGCATCAGGCCACTCAAAACACAAACTCACTTGTGTGGGGTTTCTCCCCCTATTCAATTGTGTCCAATTTTTGGAGACTGCCAGGACAAGTTCCTGTAATTTTCTTGCCAAAGCTTTCCAGACGTGCTTTGTCACTGCCTCCTTCCTAGGGCTGAGAGAATGTGACTGGCTCAAAGTCACTTATAGCTGGCTGTCATGGCTAAGATGGGACTAGAAATGGTCTCCCAAATTCTAGCCTGATGCCTTGATCACTATATCAAATTTGCTCTGTAAAACTTGTGTACATGTGTGCAGTATCACAAAACATACACCAAAGGAATGTTGATTAGTTGCCTCATCTTTTTTCTACTTCCTCTCAACAGCCCTGAAATTAAGGTCAAGGTTATATGAAATTAAGTTTTGGTTGCTAAACTCTGTTTTGGATTAACTTTTCAGACGGATTTCTTTTCAATTTAGCTTTTAAAAGAACATTGTACTCCTACATCAAAATCTGTAACAAAGCACATATTGTTATTCCAATAAAGGGGAATATTTGTAGCACAGGGTTGAAATGCGGGGTCCTTGGTGGGATCTAGGACCTTCAGGCTCCCACACTTTGCCATGCCTCCTTCGCCTCCCGCCTCTGACTTCAACCCATTACAGCCAGCTTTCCTCCTCTGCTAGCCCTCCCCTGGCTATTCGCCCTAGCCAATGGACCTCTGGCCTTACACCCTGCACCCTTCGGCCTGGCCCATTTGCTGAGATACTGTTTGTCCCAGGCCTTTGACCACACGGGATAATAAGACACCACCCAATCAGGTGGCAGGCAGAAGTCATGATGCTTCTGTCTGCCAGTGTGTGATGGGCGATAGACCATCACAGGGGCTGTGGGGCTATGGGGGAAGTGCAGCAGCCAAATGGCAGTGTGGCACAGCTTCAGGCACAGCTTCTGCAATTGGGAGGGTGTGTGTGGCAGCCAAATGGCAGACACTCATGGGCCAAGGCATGATGTGACCGCCCTCCTTCCCCTTCCTTCCTTTTCCTAACCCAAGCCTGAAGCCATGAACCTCTGCAGTTCGGCTGCTGCGTCCCCCCATGCCGGAAGCCATTCCCCACCCCCACCCCCCGTGCCTGAAGCTGCGAGCTGCTGCCATTCAGCTGCTGTGCCCCCCCCCATGTCAGAAGCCGCTTTCTCCCCTACCTGAAGCTGTGCCTCACCGCCGTTTGGCAGCTGCACCTTCCCCATAGCCTCACAGCCCCTGAAATCACCTATTGCCCATTGCACACTGGCAGGCAGAAGCACCATGGGTTTTGCCTGCCACTCAATTGTGGGGTAGCTAATTGTCCCATGTGGTCAAAGGCCCAGGACAAACAGTGTCTTGGCAAATGGACCGGCCGAAGGCCCATTGGCCAGGGCAAATGGCCAGGGGAAGGCCAGCAGAGGAGTAAAACTGACTGTAAATGGGCTGTGGTGGGAGGCAAAGGAGATATGGCTAAAGGTGGGAGTCTGAAGGTCCCATTCCGCGTTGGTGCTCCCTGACGATGTTACCAGGTTTGAGTAATGAAATGTCTGCAAGAAAACAACCAAGCTCAGAGAGTACTAAGAACTCCCCATTTTGTGAGTATTATTTTCCTAGGAAAATCAATATTAAAAAAAAAATCAAAATAATCTAAAAGCAATTCATTGACAGGAAGAATTGTTTACTGAAAAAAACAGGGCTGATTTAGCCTGTTTTTCCTGATACCAGTCTTAAATGAGCTCAGTTATAATAATGTTTTGAAAATATATATGTATGAGACATCAGTCCACTTTTCATCATGCAGTTCCACTGTGCCACTGACTGATGATTAACAAAGATGCATCAAAAAAGAGTAAGCTAACAGGATGTCTGAATTTCAAATTGTATAACTAAATTTGAGCATGGTTTGCTATGTATAATTCTCCTCTGTGTTATAATGTTAACTAACACCAAATTATGCTGTTTAGTATACAATTTGGCTTGCTTACCAAGGCTTCCTTAGCTTGTTGTGGTATCCAAAGGTTATAGTAACAGTTGAACTGACAAAGCTGAGCACTGACAGACTGAAGTTCTTTATCGTAGTGTTGAAACATCAGGCAAAGGGCTAAAGGATCTCGTTGAGAATTCAGGAGGTCAGTGAACACAGCAATGAGATATTCCACAATGCTTTCTTCTAAAAAGACAAAACAATAACTATAACAAAACTAAGACTAAATGCTTGTGATTTCTGAAACTGAAGTCTTCAAAGCCTAATCTAGAGAGCACCTTAAGCAAACTTCCATCAGGAAGATTAAAATTGCATGATTATCTGTACAGAAAAGCATAATATTTATTTTTCACAATAAAAATCAAACAGCTTCTTGATTTTGATTGTGCATATTGAGCATTAGGTTTTTTTAGCAACTTATATGCAAGTTCCCCTTTTATGTGTGCTTTTACAAGAATTTTCAGTATGTTAAAACTGCATTTTATGAGGAGGCTGATTATCACTATTTTGGTGAAAAAGAAGATTAGAAATTACAGAAACAAGCAAAAATACCTCTTGTGTTTTCATCAACAAGTAACTTATTTCTTGCTTCTAAAGAAGCTGGGACGATTGCACTAAATGGAAATGTGTTCATAATCATGTCTTCACTTAAAGTACAACCAATTTCTTCATTTAAACCTTCACTATCTTCCACAAGGACATCAATCATATCTAGAACATCTAGTTTAGTAAGGAAAAAAAAATACATAAAAAGATATTTCTATGATTCAGCAGCAAACAGTGTAACCGTCTATATAAAGAAAATAACATGTAGTATTAGCATATGCCATATGAATATGGAATCTACCTTACAAATTTTTAATTTCAAATGATAAATTGTTTATATTTTAAAATAATATGACAAACAGTAATTTTTTAACAATTAATATTTCACATTTTATTTAACAATTAAATATTGTATAGTAAAATACAATATTATTAGTAAATATTTTTAAGAATTTTAATGTTATTAAGAAAGTTAAGAATATGTACAATATTTTTGGACTATAAGACGCACCGGTGTATAAGACGCACCAAGATTTTGAAGAGGTAAGAAAAAAAGTCTTTGCCTTCCATCAGCCCCCAGCAGCACTCTGCAGGCTTCAGCAGAGCTGGGGCAAGGCAAAAACACCTGTTTTTGCAAAAAACGGCCTGTTTTTCACCCATTGTTCGCAAAAACGGAGGCGTTTTTGCCTTACCTCAGCCCTGCTGAAGCCTGCAGAGTGCTGCTGGGGGCTGATGGAAGACAAAACCGCCTCAGTTTTTACGAAAAATGGCCCATTTTTTGCAAAAATGGGATGCGGAGGCTTGGCTTCGGGAGGCCAAAAATAGCTATATTCGGTATATAAGACGCACCATTTCCACGTTCTTTTGGTGGGGGGATAGCTGCGTCTTATACTCTGAAAAATACGATACTTTAGAATTTCTATTGTAAAACAATTACAACAGTTGGGACTGACTGGAACTGAAACATCATAGAAACTCACATTTGAAATCAAGGTTATTGAGACCAGAGGTGGGTTGCTGCTAGTTCGGCCTGGTTTTCCCGAACCAGTAGTGGAATTCAGGCCTGGATCACAGAACCGGCAGCAACCCAGGCCTGCCATGCCCCGAAACCAGTTCCTTAGCTGCTGCTTGGCCGCCGCCATTTTGGATTTTAGTGACTGCGCATGGCAATTCACTGTAAATTGTTCTGCGCATGCATTACATTGAACAGCGCATGTGACACATGGGTTGAGAATCGGCCGTAATGCTGGCAGCAACCCACCCCTGATTGAGACCCATCTCATCTACTAATTTAAATGTAAATCTATTCCAATTTATCCTATTTGTTTTGGCCAAATCCAATACATGTTAGCTCCCATTGGTATAAAAACAATGCAACAGGAAAAAAAAGCATTTCTTTATCAAGTGTGATGTGGAAACCTGATTATGGTTGCTTGCCAAAGTTTGGAAGAAGTCTGGGATCTATATTATCAAATGCAAACTAATGCAAACATATTGTTCCCGACTCTAGGAGGCAGTGCTCATCTCCATTTCTAAGCTGAAGAGCCCGCATTGTCCAAAGACGTTTTCTTGGCCATGTGGCAGGCATGACTAAATGCCAATGGCACATGGAACACTGTTATCTTCCCACCAAGGTAGTCCCCATTTTTCTACTTGCATTTCTACGTGCTTTTGAAGTGCTAGGTTGGCAGAAGCTGGGACAAGTAACTGCAGCTCACTCCATTACGCAGCGCTAGGGATTCGAATTGCTGAACTGCCGACCTTTCTGATTGACAAGCTCAGCGTCTTAGCCATTGAGCCACCACATCCCCTCTTTGATCCTAGTTAATATTAGTTAATGGCTTTAACTTTATACAAGATTTTATAAGTGATGGCCTTTTTTAAAATGTTGGGTTTTTTGTAAACTTTCAAGAATATTAGTGTTAGATTAGGAGAATGATTTGGAAAGAATTGGGTATACCATCAATATGAGAAATGGGTATGCTGATGTTATCAACATCTTGTTTAAATAAGTTGACCTGAAGAATGCTTGCTTCTTGAACAAAGTCTGCTGCTTTATCTGTATATGGATAAGGGTTGGTTACTACTTTGACCAAGACCTAGAAAAGGGAACAAGTATTTATTAAAAGATGAATAGAAAATAAGGCATTTTAAATTAAGGTATTATAGAGAATGAATTCTTTAATCTTCCAAAAGATAGACTGGATGTTTTTTCTATAACAAAAAAAATTCAAACCCATTTTTTAAAGATATTGCAGTAGTATGTGTTCGTTGTAAAACCAATTGATGTCATATGCATGTAACTCAGCTGAATAAAAATACAAGGAAAGCAATCAGATTTCAGAAACCCATATCTGTATTAACTTTATTCTTCAAGTAGATTCCGCAATATATACTGTAGAATATATATTTTTTGCAGAAGTTTTATCAACCAAAATAATTCCCTGAAAATCCTTTGAATGATTCTACAGCTTTATATATTTTTATTATCAGAACACAATTTAACCCAGAAAGGTACTGTAATATTGATAAACCAAATTGTATTGTGGTACTTTAAGATCTAAATGCCCATATATCACTTTGTGAGATTTTGATTTTTTATGGCAATTACTAAACTATAATTAGATACAAGTTCATACATTATACTAACCATAAGGAAATAGCTGAACTGAACTGAGACAATTTAAATCAAATTAAATTAAATATATTTAATAAGGCATGGTAAAAACTAAGTGGGATTAAGTATGATGTGTGAACTGAGCTGTAATTCACTATATAAAAATTCATTTCATGTTCTGGTAATTCCAAGTCTTAATTAAATATATAATATAAAAATGAAAATTAAGTGTATATTATTATTATTATTATTATTATTATTATTATTATTATTTCTATTATTATTTTCCAGTCTTCCTTCCAAATGGATTATTTTGAATTTTTTGGGCTATCTTTGAAGAGAGCAATTTAGTTTAGTCATATTTAATCAATTAATTCTATAAGAAAAATTATCAGATTATTTATTATTCTTTAGTAAGACAAAAGATTTATAAGATCTGAAGAGAGGTCAAAGTACTATTATTCTTAATCAGTGAGCTGTTTGAGAAATAATCCTTCAGGGCTATATTAATGTCTTTCCTGCATGTCAAATTTAATTACTGCTTTCACAAGAGAGAGGAAGTAATATGTACATCAAAAATGTCACTGGAAGAATTAAGGCAAAGTTTACATAACTTTGCCATCCTTTCCAATGTCCTTTGTTAACTTTGCCACATAATACAATATCATGTGGATAAGAAAAGAGAGCCCACGCCTTTGTCAATAACATGTAAACCTCTAATAAAAGCCTTTGTTTATCTCACTTTCTTTGTTCAATCTTCCCTGACTACAAAATGTCAGGTTCCTATAATTCATTCATAACTTTTGAAACATTTTGCTATTAGCTATTGGCATTGTTAAACTGATTAATTAGCATATTGTTTACCCTTTCCAAAAACTGAATCACGACTTCCTTTTTGGCTTCAACTGTATTATCCAAATGACTGAGCCACAATTCAAGTTCCTTCCCAGTGTACTCAAATACTCCACTGTCGTGCAAAACCTATTAAGAAAACAAGTATTATACATTCATTTTAGCGGCTATTTTTGTACAGCAACGTCTTACACTGACTGCTAACAAAAGCTGATGGCAGATTAGTCATTTACCATGACCTTTTCCATAAAAGTCTGCTATGCTTTGCTAAAAACATACAGATTCTATTAAAGAATTGTGAAAGCCTTCTGCTTCTCCTCTTTCACCATTTTACATTACCTATTTCAGAAAATTAGTTTTTGTTTGTACCAGCGATTAATGCAAACTGCAACTGAAATCTCCAAGATATATGAAAAAGCAATGGTAATCACCAACAACCTGTCTAAACATACACACATGCATCTCTATTAGAAAATCATATGTGCAAACAGGTTCTCAAGGAGCATTTCTTCAGCCAGTTCAATAGTCGTGCTTACATCCAGACTGTTACTTGTTTATAGCAAATCAGTTGTTGAGTGTTAAGCAAGCAATTTATTTTCTTTTTATGATAGCTTACAAAATGAGTCATGTGGTTGTTTACAAGAACTTAGCGTCTATCTTTAGCATCTAGTTATCAGATGACAAGAGAGTGGGAAATAATTACTATCTCTCCTCCACATCCAGAGACTGCTGAAAAGAAAACCTCAAATTCCCAAAGGTTCACCACAAATGCGTCTTCCAGTTTTAGTTCAGTCCTAAAGAACATTCTCTATTTTACTCCATGCACTGATCCAACAGCTGTGCAAATGTTAAATGCAGATTTGCTAATGAGTCTCACTGCCACCCGTACAAGTGAAACAACCCTTGGCAAGCTAAAGAAGGCATTCACAGCTTGCCATTTTCAGACTATGCAAACAATGGCTCCTGAAGGATGGCATGCCAGCATTGTATAGGAAACAAAACCTGGCATCGTGGAGCCAGCAGGGTGGAAGCTTCCCACATTATTTAATTTTTGTTACTTACTTGCTGAAAGAAACCCAGATAAAGAAATAAACTTGTTCCTATTATGGATAGAACAGTTGCTAGGACAGCCTATTAAAAAATGGAGGATTGCTCTCTGAAATGTAAATGCAAGGGTTGCATGTGCTGATAGGTGCTAAAGAGAAGTATAGTTTATATTTCATGTTAAATGGATATGATGAATGAAGAATGAAGAAGCTTGAAGACATCCTTGAAGTTATTCAGAAAAAAAAACTTGCTTAGATGCATAAATGATTGATTTCACATATCAAACCAAGTTATCATCTAATTTATGTAATTTTTCTAACATGCAAACCTAACTACTAACTAATGATAAGATTTAGTATAAGGTGTAAATCTAGCCATTGTTGATCAGTCAGCAAACCATAGTTAAAATAAGCTATATATTTGCCTGATATATGAACCCAGTCAGTAACTACGCCCTGTGCCAATGGTTATGGACCCTGATTGGGAACAATAAAAGTAACCAACTAATTCTTTGCCAAAAATAGTTGAATTAAAAGTCTTAATTGAAAAAGTCAAGGCAAAGCCTTTTCTTTTAAACAGTCCCAACAATATGTCACTTTTGTTATACTGAGGCTGCAAACATTCATCAATTTAATTAGTAAGTTAACAGTCCAAAATATCCTAATAGGTTTCATAGAGTTCACTGGAATTTAGTTAGATACAGGGCCACAATATTGCAGCTGAATTTAAAAAATAAGTTGTCCTGTTTGCGATATTTATTTTTCATACTTTTTAACCACCCATCTCCCTCAGATGGTTTTCAGCCCTACTGCTTCCTTTTTTAAGGCTGCAATCCTAAGCATATATTAAAAGGGGGCTGCCATTTGATTAAGTGAAATTTATTTCTGAATAAATATGCAACAGACACTAACATATTAAATATAGCCTTCATACTCAAACAAACAGTAGCTTCTATTAAGAATTTATCTCATATTTCTGTCAATATCATCAAGAAGCCCTATGCCAAAAGTGATTGTTCAGGAGGCAACTGGATTGTCTTGTTTTTCTTTTGAAGACGTTTCACTTCAACAAGTCCTGTTGCCTCCTGACAAAGCACCTTTGTGACAAACATGACCTGGATGACTGAGAATCTCCATAGACATTTAGCTATACACTTTGGGATGAACACCCTTTGAATGGTGCAGGAGTATGAATGGATTGGCAGAAAAATTGCAGAGTTTAGGAACCTTTTGCGCTTCAGTTTGAGACAACACAGGCTCATCCCCAACAACCTGCGCCTGCCTTCAATAGTGAAGGAACACAAGACAGAAAACACCCTGCAGCCAAGAAGGCTCCACACCCATTTGCACTACTCAGGTGACCCTGAGGACACAAATAACCCCCAAGTGGCCCCAGTGACTCTCTAAAAATGCAAATGACCGGCTGTCTGCAAGGAATATAAATCCTTCCATTCCCCACCATCCAGTCAGAGCTGAAGAAGCTTCAGAAGCTTCGCGGAACGTCTTCAAAAGAAAAACAAGAAAGTCCAGTTGCCTCCTGAAAAAGCATCTTTATGACAACCATGACCTAGATGACTAAGAACCTCCATAGACATCTAATGGCATCTAGCAAACCATAGGTTATTGTGACTAAACTAAGCAGCTGACCCTGAAATAGGAGACCACCAATAAAATCCATTGCTATGGATAAGAGTTGGAAAGAGGGGGAAAATCCTGGAAAAAGGTAGCAGTAAACCACTTGTATATTATTGTCAGAGTAACTATATCAAATTGCATCCAATTTTATGACTTTTTTGCCATGATTAAGCAAACCATGCAGTTATTAGATGAATTGTGTCTTCCCAGAGGACCTCTGACAAGCAAAGTCAATGGGGGGAGCTGGATTTGCTTAATGACCCTATGATTCACTTAATGACCACAAGGACTTAATGACCTGTACATACCATACTTTATCTTTTATATAAAAGCTATTTTAAGATTGAACACTGCCTGGAGATGTTTGACATGCCAAGCAGAAGATCATATTTCAATCTCATAAATCAGTCTGGTACAGTGGCTAAAGAGACCAGATTAGAAATTAGGAGATTGTGAATTCTAATCCCACTTTAGCAGAAAGTCACGCTCTATAGGAAGTAGGCAGTGGCAAACCACTTCCAAAAATGTTGCCAAAAAAATCCCATATAGAATTGTCCAAGACTGCCTCAAAAGCCCTCCCCTCAAAGAAATGAGATAATTTTTAAAACTGTTAATGGATCCTCATCTGGGAACAGCACATTCAAAGAGCAAGTGGTATGTTCTTCAAAAAAATAAAAACAGGGGTTGCTTATATTGCTAACTTTTAAACCCAACCTTCTAAGGCAACATTTCCCATCCAGGGCTTACAAATCCTTCTACAGATGATGCCGGTTATGTATAAGGAATGGTATGTGGAATGGAATCTAATTTGGAAAGACCAGTTTCTATGGCATGATCTCTGCTTTTGCTAGGCAAATAATAACTCACCTTAAAAATCAATTTCTTGGTTGCTATTTTGAGCTGTGAATGGGGGCTGGTGACAAACATTTTCATCAGTAGGTAAAATACAGATTTGTCACCACAAACCTTCTCAGCTGCATCCTAAAACACATTTGCATTGGTTATAGTTGAATTATTCTAGTGCTCATCACAATAACTAATATTTTACATTAAATACATGCAATACATACATTAAATAAGTGTATAGCAGAACCAGATAAATACGGGTAGTCCCCAACGTACGACTACAACTGAGCCCAAAATTTCTGTTGCTAAGTGAAACATTTGTTAATTTTGCCCCATTTTACGACCTTTCTTGCCACAGTTGTTAAGTGAATCACTGCAATTATTAAGTTAGTACCATGGTTGTTAAATTAATCTGGCTTCCCTATTGACTTCGCTTGTAAGGTCGCAAAAGGGGATCACATGACTTTGGGACACTGCAGCGGTCATAAATATGAGTCAGCTGCCAAGCAACTGAACTTTGATCATGTGACCATGGGGATGCAGTAATGATTGTAAGTGAGAAATATGGTCATAAGTCACTTTTTTCAGTGCCGTTGTAGCATTGGACAGTCACTAAATAAATTGTTGTAAGTTGAGGACTACCTGTAATGAAGCATAGCAAGAATCAATATTTTCATATTCCATATTTTGAATTGGAGAAACAACAAACAATGTGCTATTTACTAAAAGCAAAACACAATATGTACAAATGTATCTTTGTAAGACCAATGAAAATGTCACAAAATATCAAGCTGGTGTCAATGTTTAGTGACCACACAGACATATTTCCTACAAGCTGATCAGTTCTCCAACATGCTGCACTGCCCAGAGTCACTCCCTGTGAGACGGAAAGCCATATAAATGTATTCTATATTATAAATAAAATATAATAATGTCCCATCAATGTACACAGTGCTGCTGTAATTAAGTCCATCTACAATGCTGCTGGTCTCCCTCTTCTTCTTTCCTTCCCTCTTTCAAACATTATAGAATTTATAAGAGAGTAAGGTCTTCGCATAATGTGCCCAAACTAGGATAATTTGAGTCTGAGCATTTCTGCCAAGTGAAACTGTAAACTGAGGATTACTTGCACCTGTTAATTTAGTCTTTTTCATATTTAAACTTAGTCCAATTTTTTTCACTGTGCTTCTTGACATTCATTACTAAAGACTGCAGGTCATTTGCATTTTGTTATTAGAATACTGTCACCAGTATAGAGAAGGCTACTAACATTTCTCCCTTCTTTCGTATTGGCATATAGACTGAATTTTTTAATCAATAACTATCTGTTCATGGACACCCTTTAGTATACCAATTCTCTCCAAGGCAAAGTTTTCAATTTGCTCTAAATTTAATTTCATCTAATTTATTAGTCATCTTTGAAGCAATCTCTTCATTTTTATTCCTAATTTTTTATTGCATTTCACATTATGGTTCCCTCTTAATAGTGTTCAGGACTTTAAAGCAATTTCTAAAAATGGTGAGTATTATGGTGAGTATTATGGAGGCTAGTAGACTTTATTCTTCCGTTTAGGTTGACCTGCACATGAGCAGTTTGTGATTTGTTTTCTGCAATACCCTGGGCCATATCTTCACTGTTATAACTGACTTCTTTTACTTCCTGTTTACTTCCATCTGTGGAGGTCCATATACACAGACAAAGTTTGGTTGCTGAAACCAAAGAAATCGTTAGATTGGCAGAAATCAGTAAGTCATTCTCCTGCTTCCTATTTCCTAGGTCATACAGTCCAATTAGGTTCTTTCATTATTTCCAACTCTGCATTCCAATCTCCAACCGCAAGCAGTATATTTTGCTTGCATGTTCCCAGTGTTGATGATTTCAAATTGAACTCATCAAACTCCACTTCTTGCATCAGTGGTTGGAGCATAAACTTGGATAATTGCCACATTAAAGGTTGCCCACAAAGTTTAATTCATATTATTCACTCATTGATTTCACTGCCCTCAAGTACTGTTTTTGCAATAATCTTCCAACAATGAATTCAACCCCCTTCTGTATTTTATATTCTTAGTAAATAGTATGTTCTTCTGACTGAAAAATGCTCACTAACCCATTTCAATTCGTTGAGGCCTAAGTTGTAAATGTGTAATTTGTTCATTTGTTCATTTAATCTTTTACTACTGTGAGCTTTCCTGTGTTCATGCTTTTTATGTTCCATGTTCCCAGCTTCAAAGAGTTTTTCCCCTAGACCTGTGATGGCGAATCTGTGGCATGCGGAACCATTTGTCAGGACATACTTAAGTTGTCTATTGCTGAATTTACGGTTTGCTCGTAGGGCTGGTTTTTTGCACTCCGGAGGCTTCAGGGAAGCTTCCGAAGTCTCCGGAGGGCCTCCGGGGGGGGGGGGGAGGCTGTTTTCGCCCTCCCCATGCTCCTCTAAAGCCTCTGGAGCCTGAGAGGGTGAAAAAAGCATGCTAAAAATGGGGGGGGAGTGCTGGTCGTGCACACACACTGTGGTCGTGCGCATGGCACACCCGTACACGACCCCCGTGCACGCGAGCCAAAAAAGATTCGCCATCACTGCCCTAGACAGCAATATCCCTGCTGCCTGATTTAGATTCTTGCTTGTTGTAGATTTTACCACTTCAAGGACCAAATCTTCCTCTTACGTTGTGTAAACAGAACCTTAAATGATGCAAAAATCTCTTTTCAAATGATGTTTATGCAGCATTGCAGAGACAGCAGAGACATAGAAGGTCAGCACAGCAATAGGTACAGCCTATAACTGGTGATAAATATAGGCACATATCTAAATATCATAGATATCACTCTTACCTGTATTCTGAACCAGGAAAACTTATTTGCAGGCAGCTCAAGAGCCAGTTTGAGAATATGATAATGCAGAACAGGACAAATTTCCTGTTGCAATCCTTTTTCAGTAAAAATACCTATGATTTGAAAAAGATATAGTTGCTGATTAAAGTTAAATCAAAGATAAAATAACCAAACTAAATAAAAAATCCAAGCAGCATTATACATTAAGATGTTTGGACAGCAAGATGGGCAGCATATATTTAATTTAAAAAAAAATATTTTAGCATCACAACACTGTCTGTCTGTCTGTCTATCTCGATCATCTATTGATTATCTATGTCACACATTTATTTACCCATGTAGTATGGCTGTAATATAATTATTTATCCTTCTTGTTATCTTCTTTACTTCCTCCCTCTTATTGGTCTTATTATTATTATCATTATTCTGTTGCTCTGCATGTAGCGAGAGAGCTTCTGCACTAGAGACAAATGCCTTGTGCATCCAATCACACTTGCTCAACTAAAGTATTCAATTCAGTTCAATAAACTATTCAATTTCTAGAACTGTTTGACTCCAAAAAGATTGTGGGTGACTTATACATTTAAACAAGGAGAGAGTATCAAAAAGATATCACAAAGAAAATAACACAAACACAATATTAAAAAAGACATCAGCAGTCCAGACAAACAATAAAAACTTTCTCTTCTACTTTCTCTCCCAAAAACCCAGTCTAAAGGACCTTAACAACCACCCTAATTCAAGATCTGCAGGAACATCCAGGTTTTCAAAGCTGTTTAAAATCGCTGTGGAGATGGTGTTCCAAGAACTCAGTCTATCACTCTTACTACAATTGAGTTTGAGCCTTTCTCAACACACACACACACCCTGGGTACTGGAACAAGACTTATCATCATACCTGAACCCAACAGATTATCTCACCCCGCAGGTTGACCTGGAGGGGCACAACCATAAAGCCCTGAGGCACCCATAAAGGAGTTTGAATTTTATCTTTTCTCTTCCCCTACCAATTATCAATTGAAACTGGCTGAGGAAAAATGAGAAGTGTCACAATTCCATATCTCCCACTTCCAATTCCTGTACTCCGTCCAGAAGATACCACAATCAAGTATACTGAAAGCCACCAAGTCATTAAGGAGAGTCAGGATACTTATTCCTCTCCCATTCCATTTTTGCAGTCCCTATTCAATTAATGGCATCCTAGTGAAATGCCTCATCCTAAAACAAAGCTAAAGGGATTCAAATCTTGTCTCCCCCTGCATCACAATACTGATCTTAATATGAATTTTAAAGGTTTGGGAAAATGAAAAGGTCTTCATCTGGAATTGAAATCACCAAATGTAAGATTACCTAGGGAGAAGATTCTAAAATTTTAGGAGACCAAACTCAAAGTTCAATCAACTTTTTCAATACTCATCTGCATCTTTCAACTGTGACTATGGCTCCTGAAATTGCAAAGCACTTGCAAAGAAACTGAAAATCTCAAGCTTACCCTGATCCCAGAAGCCCCAGAAGAAAAAACAGGAGTCAGCCTTCAACAGTATAAGGACTATAGCAGCCACTATGTAGGACAAACAAACAGAAGACTAACAGAGCACATCCATGAACACCAAGCAGAAGTCAGAAGACATGGTGAAAACTCCTTAATTTCACAACACATGGACAGATTCAACCATAGTTTCAATTAGGAAATTGTGACTATCCTAGATCAAGCCATATAGAGATAAACTATGCCTACATATTGTGCAAAAGAGACAATCAAAAAGCCAAAAAAAAACAAACCCAATACAACTCCCCACCAGAAATCAACATGCACATGAACAAAGAGTAACACCAAAATTAACCTTGAGCAATAGTCAAAAAGTAAACAATACCCTAAGCAAGGACTACCAATTCAGACAAGCTAACCATAAACAACAACCTAATCAAGGAACCACTAAGAACAATCCCACTAACATTGATAGGGCAAGCCACTAATATATAAAAATAAGAGCAAACCCAATTCCCTTCTAGCATTGATAATGTTATCTAGTTTGGTAATGAAATATCTGCAATAAAACCACCAAGCTCAGAGAGTACCAAGGACCCCACAGATCGATCAATTATCTATTTATCTATTTATCTATTTATTATNTATGTATATGTATATGTATATGTATATGTATATGTATATGTATATGTATATAATGTCATTAATATAATCATCAAGGGGCGCTGCAGATGCTACTAAGATAAAGGTATAATAAAAAGGGAAACCATAAATGTGTACTAGCTCCATTAGACCTATGCCTATGTCTGTTGCCCCATATTTCAGATATATAGTTAAGAAAATGTTATTTTGCCTTTTTCACATTATTCTAAAAATTATACATTTACACTTGGCACCAATATAAATATGGAATTAAATTTGTGAAAAGTTTATAAATATTGTTAAAACAAAAGAAAGTTTACAGTTTCTTCCAAATCACTAGTACTATATAGGCCAATATACTGAAGAAAAAAAAAGACCTAATGAAATACCTTTAGATATTTATATCCACAGCTGCCAGAAAAAAGGAGGAAGAATAAAAGGCAGCACATTTCTTCTTCATCAAACTGCAAGTCAAGCCTGTTTTCATTTCTTTTTTTAAGACTGTACCTTACTAAGTGCTTCCCGGTACTGCTGAACAAATTCCTTCATGATTAGTGGAGTATAGATTTCTGACTTCTCCCATATCTTCTCATTCTGACAATAGTCAATATTTTTCATTGCTCTTTTCAGAATAGTTGTTATCAGTGAAAATATAGTATGCTTCACTGTTTTACTGGCTATCTAAAATTTAAACATGGAAACAATTACTTAGCCTTATCTTCATCTTGCACAATTTAACTATGTTCTCTAAAGTTAACTACGGTAATAACAATCTACAGCATGAAGGGGAAACGCCAACTGTAAATATAGACAAGAGGAAAGAGGAAAAAAAGGATGCATCAAATGAATTTGAATCCAAAAAAGAGATATAAACCCCAAAATGTTTAAATAAAAAGACTTTTAAAAGTAGCATGCCCAGTCGCTTTTGACATAGTGCCTCTCTTGGGGAAATCAGTTATTATCATTTTCTGCAAAATGGTATGCTTTGGATATGTNATCTATCTATCTATCATCTATGGCAGCCCATCTTATACAGTGGTGTAAGTATACTTATCTTGCAGATTGTTAGCTAAAGTACTAGACAAGACCCTCCTTTATAAATATTATTTTGGTGTATTCCCATTTAACTAGAGTATGCTTAACATTACCTTTTATTAATTTGCTAAAATCAAAGTTGCTCTGTGCTACTAAGTGAGGAACAACTTGTTGATAAAGGCATATAACTTGAAGTAAAACAGCTTTCAGAAGAGTGATTTCTATATCATCCAAGCCTAGAAAAATCAGATTGACAGATATATTTTTTTAAAAACAAAGAAATGCCATAAAATAAAATCCCATTTTATTTTCATTTTACGATATTAGTGTGTTTTTTTCCTCTACACATAGTACAATTCTGAAAAATAGCTACTACCAATATATGTAATTTAAAAATGAATCAACTGATAGCAAATCTAGGGAATTAAAATGAAGTTCTAAAAGTTTAATCCTGGCCCTTTGGATGTTTAGAATGAATTCTACCCCCTCCTCTGGGTCAGTAACCACTGCCAGCGTTGTTATGGTGCTGTTTAGTGGAAAAAGAAAGAAATTACAAAGTATTGATGCATAAGACTTTTGTGTTTTATGTCTAAATGAGAAGGAAAGAAACTTTAGCAGGGCTGTTTGTCTGCCAAGTCAGAATATGCAAAATTAAGAACTCTTAAGGAATATGTCCCAAAGGTGCTTTTTTCAAGGCAAATAGACTTTCTAGTTTTTCTTCGAAGACGTTTCGCTTCTCATCCCAGAAGTTTCTTCAGCTCTGACTGGATGGTGGTGAATGGAAGGATTTGGGACAACCTTGACCTGGATGATTGAGAATCTCCATAGACATTCTTAAGGAGTATATTTCTCAAGAGACAAGTGATACTTGCTTTATACTAAATAATAGTTTGCTAGTTAGTGACTTTGCATGGTTTGTCAACTTAGCCGCTATAGGTTATAAACCATGGTTTATTAAATAGCCAATTCTATGAAACCAAAAAACAGTGATTTAATAGTGCTTTACACTATCCAGGAATTAGTGTGAAGTGTAAAGTAAGTGTAAAGTTAAGGATAGAAAACATCCTTAATGGCTTTCTTGCAAGAATCTCTTCATTCAGAATTTTGCACAGGACTGGGTTGTTAACAGTCTATAAAACAAGGGTTTCAGAAAGGATATCTAATAATTTTATCACATATTAAAATATAACTTTCATATTAAATAGAGCTTGTCAAAGAACAGCTCAGGGCCAACATGAAGTATCAGATATTTTCAGTCACTGGGTTAAAAGTACAAATCTGTAAGTACATACAATGACCCTTACCATGCTCTTTGTTTGTTTCATTTGTTTCCTCCTTATAAGAAGCAACTTCTGTTCCTTTCTCTTTCTGTCCTTCTTGAGACTTATCTTGTTTTAGTAAGGACTGCCAGACGGCGATTATGCTAGTCATATCTGGTAAAAGCTAGGTTTTAAAGGTTATTATATTATGTTGTACAAAGCAGAAGTATGGGAGAAAAATAAAAAATCTACATTTATGCAAAGCTTTGCAGGTTATTTACCTGTTTTGAATATATTAACAAGAAAGATTATTTTTTCCTGTAAATTACTTTAATCTATCATTATTCCCCTATTCAAATTTGATTTGTCCCATTTAATATCCTACTTGTTTGCTCTTACATTCATTCCAATGTAGCTGCCAAATAATTTCTAAAGCATAGGTATTTGTAGCCAGGGGGTAAATTTTATATATATATATATATATATATATATATATATATATATATATATATTGTATTTGTGCTGATAAATAAATAAAGGGAG